AAATTATTAAAATTTGCTTGTCAATTTAATTTAATTTGTGATATTATAGTATTTAATTGCGTTTATAAGTTCAGGAAAACCAATTCTGCGCGTAGTTCGAATTACTATAAATATAGTATATATGGATGTACATATATATATGTAGTATATAATATTTATATATATAAAATTCACATTGAATTATTTGAAACATGAAACATCCAATTTCGACCGTTATAGGCTTTAATGTTCTTACTTATTAAAAATTATAAATAGCGATAAATGCTGAACGCAATCTAGTTTCATGGATCGGCAAGCTCTCCGCACAATTTTTTGCCCTTTTCTGCTATCGCCGATATAAATCAGGACCTAAGTGTTTTCTCCATAGTAGTACGCCGAAAGCACTTCTCGATAAGAGCGCAGAGCTCAGAGGGCCGGACGATACTTAAAATTCCGGGCTCTGAGCATCTCGAAACGCGCACACTGACCGCTCAATTAAATGCGATCTTTTGTTCCCACGCTGCGTTTCCTACGTGGAATCTAGTCGCGATCGCGGGAAATTAAAAATGCGGCCCTCGTACTGGAAGCGGCTTTTTACGAGCGGCCCATGAGAGTGAGAGCGCAGTATTATTTTTACGCGGTCGGACACGAAATTGAATTTTCCAAGCCCTTTCGCCCTTTCAGTGCGTCGCTACAGAGAATCCTATTAACCACAGGAACAATGCAACCTAAATAGCTATACGTACATACGAAGGAGAAAGGGAGGCAGAATGGAAAGTAAGAGAGAACTATTCTCTCGTGGCGCACGTATGTACGCTCTTCGCCTTCTCGGATTTTCTCAGAATTTCTCTCACGTCGGCAGGCGATTTTAAAATGCATTTAGCTGGCATCCGATAAATTGTCGGAATAAATAATAACATATTCAGTGAAATATCCACGGAGAGAAAAAATTTTGGTATCTGTAACTATAATTACATGTTACGGGTGGACTTTCGAAAACCTTAAGTCTCCGATTTTCTTATTGATTGGCATGCAACAGTATTTTGGTGCACTGATTACGAATATTATTGTGAAAATTGCCGACAAGGTCATTTTTAAGGTCAAATATTAAACTATATTTTTCATATTTTTGTCACATTTAATATTATTGAAACTATTGATTAAAAACTTATAAAATGTATACGTATGTAGTTTTTGTAATATCGATGTCGACTGAAGATTTGTGACGAATTTCGTCCAATAAATATATATAGTAAAGTATAACAACACAACAGTTAATTCACTTGCGTGATAGATATATAAATTCAGGGAGAAAAACTCGTATTATAAATCGAAACGCACCTGAAGTAGAAATGCTGAAGATGCAGCCGCGCGCGAAGATCGATTATGCGGCTATTGTGTTTAGCCCAACGCGCGTCATTTTACGGATATGAGAGCGGGCAGTCGCCGGAAATTAATCTTCATCCCACACAATCGTGCTGCCGAACTCTGCATCCATTCTATCGGCGTCGATGACGCTGTGTGGCGGGAAGTTCATGGGATATTCCACGTTCATGTATGGATCGAATGTTGATTCGTAACCGGTGAAGTTTCGGCGCAACGGCGACGCGCTAACGAACGCGTATTCGTTCGTATCACCGGTACTATATACTCGCGTATAAAACCGACGGGGCGACGTATGGAACGATTTCCATATGATAATGACGTCAATGCACAAAGAGTCGCAACGCGTTAACGCCGCGCGATTGAACACCGATAACTGTTTGTTCTGTTGATTCTGAGTTGCGAAGCTCACGCATGCGTGCGTGCGTCGGAACGTGCGTGCCACTACTACTCACACGACTATCGACATATGTAAAGGGCCGTCTACATAAGTCGCAGACGCAGAACGCAGTTCGCAGACGCATTTGCGACAGCCAATGAAAAGCTGTTATTAGTACCATTGACGCTTCTGATTGGCTGTCGCAAATGCGTCTGCGAACTGCGTTCTGCGTTTGCAACTTAACTAATAATAACAATAGCACAGCTAGACCTAACCTCTCGTCCTAGCGTTCGTTCTCTGATATTTCTACTTATTAATATAACATCAATATACTATATCAATATACTATATATTATATCAAAATATAAATCTCGCGTAAGTTTTCTCTTGAAACAGAAATAAGCTTTCGAGATGTAAACGAAACGAAATAAAATAAGTGAAGCTAAAAAAGCTTGAAAAAGAAATTGCGATTGATAACATTTATTCAGAATATAAGCCAAATAAATGAGATGCTTATAAGAACCAACAATTTAATTTTTCGTATGTGTTTTTTAATGAATTTAAATTTTTAATGTAAACGTTTCGACTCACAGTTTCGAGTCATCTTCTAAAATGAAATGGATGTATTATTGAATCAAATTTTTGAATAGACGATTATTATATTATTGAAAATATAAAACTGTAAAACGTTAAATTGAATTTACGTTAAATTGAATTTAGTTATTCAGTCATTAAAGTTTAACAAACTGGTGTTAATTTTTATAGGTATCTCATCTCTTTGATTTATAATCTTTAAAACCTTTTCATTATTATTTATTCAGGCTATAAAAATAAGAAGAGGAATTAGATTTAAAGGGAGGAATAATTCAAAGGCCCAAAATAATAGAAATTAAGAAATAAGAACAGTTTTAATTCCAATGAAAGAAACAAGTGCATATACAAAAAACTAATATAAATAAAATAATGACATAAATGATATAATGATAAATGATTGAATGCATAATAAAATGAATAATACATTAAATCATTGTTTAAAAAGAAATTAATTCGTGTAGACGCTCTTGAGTGACTATACGGCATTAACGAGCGCCTTTCCTGCAATTCGAGGCTACATAGTACCAGAATCATCGTAATCGAATTTGCTGAGCAACAGTTGTAAATCATGAGGACCGGCTTGCTCGTGCCATGTGTTTCGAGCGAAAACAGAGAGAAGTAGAAAGGCGATGGAGAGAGAGTGAGTGTGGGCGAGGGAGCGCTGCTTGGGGGAGCTATGTATACCCCGTTTTAAGGGTGCAGCAATTGCGAGCGCTACTTCGACGATCGATCACGCTTTCGCATGGTCTTTCGTACTTCCTCGCCTAGCTAAAAATGTAAAACAGCAAACGGCGACGAAATAAAAATTACAAAATGCTTTGAAAAATTTTCTAAGCGCGATGAGCTTCGTTTATTCAACACAATTAATTTAACAATACCAATAATTATTTGTTAATAAAAATATTAATATAATTAATGACAAATAGCTAATAGATATTTTAATATCGTTAAAAATATCCGTGCGGTTATTTTATAATAAAAATATTTTCAAATATCTCATCTAATACTAATTACAATATATGGAGAAACTGTATAGAAAGAACGGTTTTACTAAAGTATCTATAAAAATTTAGTTACATACAGATCTGAAAATAATTTTGTAGAACCATCAAATAATTATGTAAAACGTTTAGATGTTGCTGACAATGCTGCAAAGAGTTTTACATTTTAGCAATCAGTTTATCAGTTTTCTACATAATTATTTCGATGGTTCAAACAAAATTATTTTCAGATCCGTGTTTAACTAAATTTTTAAATACAATACTTTAGCAAGATTCTTTTTATGTTTAAATACAATATCTTGTTTCCTTTCTCAGTCGAAATTATTGTCTTAAAAATTCGAAGAACACAATGAAAATTTCATGTTAATGATAATTTTATTTCATAATTTTATTAATATGTTTCAATTATTGTGGATAACTCTTTGAAGTCTATATAGTCAAGATATCATCTGTTGGAATATATAGAATATATGCTTATAGAATGGATTTTAAGTTCATATTATAACTTCAAGAGCTCTTTGGATCATTTAAGGCCCAAAAGTCTTAATAAACGTAATAAAAATCACTTTTTTTTAAATATCTCAAATTATATATACCTGACATAAAACATAAATGAGCGATCTATGTAATGGATTTATGTTAGAGATATTCCAGAAAACCTGAGATATTTTAAAAAATGTGATTTTTTTAGAAACTTTAAATTTCTCTACTTTGAAAACTTGGTTTTAGGACATGGACCGTAAATAATCTATTGCACATTAAATGTGTTTTTATAATATAAAACATATATTAAATTTTTATCATATATTTAGTTATTCAATTAGCGAGATGGTCGCGATTTCCTTGTGCATAAGCCATGAATTTACCTTTATTAAATGTCAACGGAGTACAATCAAATTGAAACTCGTAACTAGTTCGAAAGTTACTTCGCCAAGGACATAAGCAACGATATCTGTTCTGTGAGAGGCTCCGATGTGATGGGAAGACGAAGGGTGTTGCCAGGCGCTGTGGCAACCTCTTGCTCGAAAGCCTCCCTCCAAAAGCTTAAATCGGCTTCATATCTCAAACGCGCCCTCGCATCTCTAATCAGATCATTAACCCCGCGAAACGTTCGCGCATGAGGAAGTTCGTCAAACAAAAATCCCGATCTTTCGATTTGTTTCTTCGTGAGTAAAATACGAAGCCAAGTTTGACACTAAGGAAATGAAGGCACCGCCTGAAGAATATAAAATATATTCAGCGATACTTAAGTCTACTTAATACTCAAGTCTAGAATTGTTAAGAGGGTACCAGTAAAAAGTTTGGAAATAATTGTCAAACTTGGAGCCAATTGTAATAAGTTTCTTAGAGAGAGGTGTTTGTAATTTTAGTGTTTTATTTTTATGAAAATATATTATAGTGTGTTAAAAGAATAGAGGGAGTGTAGTAAAAAAAGATATCTTTGTAAGTTTATTTTGTGAGAATGGAATCCCTTTCGTCGAAAGTGAGGTTCTTCAGGACCAAGGTAAAGTTGACGAGAGAGCAAATAAATTTCCCAGCACAATAGAAAGCTACCGAGGAGGCTACGAGAATGATTTCAATGGCTCGTTCAATTAGGATCTTTTCATCGGGGATTAAAATCTGCGAGCTTCCTTTCGCTGACGGTTTTGATTTGTTGTTGCAGAATGGAGGAGTCGTCGCGGAATCTGTTGCAACATAAGCACCGGGCCGAACAGCTGAAGCAGGAGAAAACGGCGCTTACACTGTCCTACGAAGTACGTAAGACTTATTTGATCCTCACAGATTGTTAAGTAATTCGCTACATTTTAAATCTTATCTAAATATTTTTTAAATATTTTCTTCATATAAACAAAAATATTATAAATCCGACACTTATGGTGCACATATTTATCAATTTATAATTATACCTTTACTAGATGCTTATTAGCATAAAAGATTATTAAATTGCTTGAGTGTAACTATAAATTATTAGATATATGCGCTATTAGTACTTAATAAATAAAATGATATTATTATGGTTCTGCTCATGATGGCATTTTAAGACCGCAAAAAGATTTCGGCGCACGATGTGCATAATCAGATACATAAGTACATAAATTCACACAAGAAATATTTAAGTATTAAGATCTTACTTTTACTGAATATATGAATTTTTATTTAATTAGATTTATTCTCATTGATTTAAAAATTTATATCATATAATTTATATAATTATGTTTTTTAAAAATTCTTAAAGAATGACCGTAATGATAGAAATAGAAGAATGCTTTGTAATGTTATTTCAGTATCGGAATTCTAAATAGAAGATTAAATGTAATAGCCCAGGAAAATTGGATTTTTTGCCTGTCAAACCCAGCATTTACTATAGAAAAGTATATGGATACTGGGTCTATCCTATATGTCTATGGTTGAAACGGAATAGGAGGTATTCACGACAAATTTATCTCCAAGATTTGTCCCCATCTTTGTCAATCAAATATACCATATCATAATGCTGCACGAGACGACAACACGCGAACGAGATAATCGATATTGATACGCGATCAGACGACAATCGAACACTTATTGTTGGGGAATCGCGCGTTGTGAGTTATATGGTTTGCATGGAAGCCGCAGCGCGATGACAGTCCCGTAAAAGGTTTCCCCTTATCCAATAATACCGGTCTCCTTCACGGCGACATGCCCTTATTGTATTTCACCACGCGAGCACTCTCCGCCCGGATTGTCCCAGGCATTGTTACAAACCCGAATTTTGCTCGGTTCCCATTATTAAACGTCAAGTAGCGTGCCAGGTTCACAGCAGTTTTGTCTCGTTTCGCGCACATCGTATCGGCCGGGTCGACTCTGTTCAAGCGATTTAATTCCGCGATTTCAGCCTTTGCGAAGATTTACGATTCTTCTTTTTCCTTTTACGAAGGTTTATCTTATTATTGCATTTTTCTTTCTCTGAGGAAATAGTTAAATATGGCACGGCAGAAAATCTCAAAAGTTAAATTTAAAAAGTGCATTGTAACTAAAATTCGTTGTATTATATTTAATCAGACCTCTACTGATTATATTGAAATTTTGAAGATTTTATCTTTAAATTCTTTAAAAAATTTATGCAGTAAGATAGGATGGGGTTATTTCGTCAATTTCAACTTTAAAGTGATACGAAAATTTGCAAAAATGTATCTCACATGCCTAGTTACATTTCGAACATAATAACACTAAACATAGTGTAACTTTTTAAGTATAAACAAAAAATTAACACACATTAGTGAAAAATATAAATAACTGATTTAAAATGTACGTACATGTATCAAAATCAGTTGGGATTATTCCGCCCGTTAAGGAGGATCTTCAAAAAAATGAAAAGTACAAGAAAATAATTCATAGTTAATAGAAATATTATAATTTTTACACCACCCTCCCGAAACTCTACTGAATAGTCAATATAATTTTTATTATGAAATTACATCTATATACATATGTTAAAATGGTTTTCTTGAGGTCGAAGTAGTGAAGAAGCACATATCGGAAAAACAACTTATCGCGATTCATTTTCAATCGATTGGAAAATCTCTTTGGCGTCGAGAAATCTAACCTGTGAGGATTGAATCACTTTCAGCGATGTCTAAACTACAAAAGACATATGACTTCATCGTCGAAACTCGCCAGCGTTGGAGCCAGCACCCTCTAGTAGCGAGCGGCAGGAATTAAGTTTAACACCTAATAATACCTATGTGTCGCAAATTCAATTTTGTACATTTCGGTTCGTTATTTGAGCCATCCTCAGCAATGATTGTACACGGTTTGATTATCGATAGTGTACCAAAATCTCCAAGCCATGTAAATAACAGTTATGTATTAATTTAAGGAGTCTATAAATTTTATATTTTTCTTTACTTGAATTTGTTTATGAAATATCGATGTTTTCAATTCCTTCTTTATATTTTTTCTATATATCATCGCCATAACATATAATATCGCGTTAACTCCCGTAGGTTCACCAAACTTTACGGTTAATACAGCAATCGACGCGCTGCTATTATTCTATCCAAAAGAATAACGTCGATAAACTCGCTTTCGCGCGCTCGCTTCTCGTTTCCGCAATTCGCGCGACTCTCGTAAAGCTCTCGCGGACGATGATTTCTGGCATAAAACGCGTCCTATGCCGGAAGACGGGAGTCCAGATAATAAAGGGAGGGAACAGTAAACGCGGACGTTTACTGCCGATCCTTACGGTGCACGCGGTATCTTGTTCACGGACGGTTTGCCCCTAAAAGAGTCGTATCGTACGGGGAGTGTCTTCTTTCCTCCTTCTTCCTTTTCCCCGTAGTAAGGATAGCAGCGGAGAGAAGGAGGGTGAGAAAGAGAGGCTATATCGCCTGTCCCCTACGACATAACGTTTAATATCGATCGTCACTCGATCCCCAGGTTCGATGTCGACTGTCGACCCGCCACCGTCTGTCAATGACAAGCCGCGCAATCTCTATGGAAGGCACAGTGTATATGTTATTCACGAATGTACTTTTATCGCTGCACGCAAGTCGGTGACGACCTGCAAAGAAAAAAAGATTCTGTCGAATCGAATCACGTGACAAGTCAAGATCTATAGTAGAGAGACGTTCTCGAAGAAATTAGGAAACTAATTCCTGACTAGAGAGAAAAATTGAAAATATATATGGAACTCTATATTGTCGAGAAATAACGCGTGTCTACGAGAATTCGCGCAGAAGGCGGACGGTCTGCATTTTTACTCTCCCTCAGGCCAAAGCATGACAGAAAATCGTTGGTTTCCTCGCTCGATGCGATGCGGGGGTGTATAACAGGCGAGGGCCGACTGTTATAAATCAGACACACGCACCCTCTATTAGCACCCCTGTCCCCAACAGGATTCTCCGCGGCACTAATTCAACGTTAAACGCCTTTCTGCTAATAACGACCAGTTATTATTGCTGTGCCCGACCGCGAGTCGCGAGAGAAGCTCGTCGGCAACGCCGTGTCGCCGGTAAACAATGCATCCGATCGCTCGTAGAAACGTTTCTCGTTAAACTTCACCTTTCCGCCGTTTAAAAGACCGTGTCTTGATTCAAGGCAAACAGCAATAAGAAAAGCGAACCGGTCACGAACCTCACCACCACGTAATTGCTTCCGTTTAAGAATGAAAGTAAAGAGACCCCTGCAGTGACGGGTTTAAGTTTTTAAAAACCTTGGTTACAAACTGAGACTCCCCATCCGATAGTACTGAAAACTAGATTCGACGTTTTCCAATTTTAGAAAGAGCGATAGTGCAGGCATGTTGACATAAAAATATTTAAAAGCTTTAAAAAAATGTTCTAGTGTACGTTTAGCAAAATGACCATATCTGGAGTGTGTGTAACTGTCAGTTAGCTGATTAACTAAGGCCCAGTTTCACAACTGACGGTTAACTCTTAACCGAATTTCAACTTATTCATTATCTCTTTTCAATTCTAGAATTGGAAAAAGATGACAAATAAGTTGAACCTCGGTTAAGAGTTAACCGTGAGTTGTGAAACTGGGTCTAAGTGCGAGCTGAATCAGAATATCATTAAAACGACAGTTACTAAAAAGAAAGGATAACAAAATCTTATGGAGACTTATCTATTGCGCACCATAATATAAATGCACAATAATATAAATTAAATAACATTCTTGAGGCTTCCACGGGTGCTTTCTGTATAAAGGTTATGCGTTTCGCGGGTTTCCTCCGTGTTCAGATCCATTTTTGAGATGCCAACGTATCAGGCTGCCCCTCGCCCTGATGAAATAGACTGCAAAGTTCACGAAACGTTGGCATCTCAAGAATGGATCTGGACACGGAGGAACCCGCGAAACGCATAACCTTTATAAATTAAATTAATTAAAATTAACAAAACAGATAAAATCAAGTTAAATTTCTTGTAAAAACATAATGTTCGCAGTGTCAAAAGCAGAGTCAACTTATGTAAAAGAACATTAAGAACTTTTCGACTCAGTTTAGTCCACTCTATCTACAGAAGAGCGCTTGGCAAAAAATTTCGTGACACCCTGTTTTGAGCTAACAAAATACCCCAGAACTTTTCCTTCAACCCAATAAAATATGCCAGAAATAATTTTCACACGTCTGTTTGTAGGCGCGCGTGCACCAGTATCAGGCGCAGATATCAAAGCTGCAACTAGAGAACGAGTCGATGCGTGGTCAACTACGCGGCCTGGAGGCAGCATGCGCCGGTGAAGTGCACGCCGCGCTGGTAGCACGTTTGGCAACCCTCGAAACGGAGCACGCAGCCTTAGCGCGAGACGCTGACGCCCAGCGTCGACAATATGAGCGGTGCCTGGACGACGTCGCCAACCAGGTGGTCCGCGCTCTCCTATCGCAAAAGGTTCATCGCTATGCTCTCGTTACCACCCTTTCCTTTTCTCTACCTCTCTTTTCGTCCTCTTCGAATGGTCCATGTCCGTTGCGACGATGTGCGCTGTGTGAATGCTATTATGTATATAAAATGCTGAAGAATTTGTGTATAAACTTCGAGATTATTATTTGGAAAATTTCACAAGAGAAGCTTCTTCAAGTGTAGCTTTGGAGAGATTTTTTTTTTTTGAGAAACGATGTTGAAAACGTACGATCAAAAGATACAATAGTGTCCCGTGCCAAGTATATCTTGTATACGAAAGATATTCTTACACATTTTGTTTAATTTTGTACGAACTTTATTTCAATAAAATTTTATCTCTTTTTTTACTACGATTTATTTAGATTACTCAAATTATTACATATGTAGATGTATATAATGTTTGAAGGCGGAGATTTTCAGCACTGTATAATAATCAGGATTTTTCACACCAGAAAAATAATAATGCCTAATTTGAACATATTAATCTTTTCAAAACTTATATATAAAAAATAAGTAGAATGTATGATAACATTTAATATTTTCACTAATACATTATTTATTCTTCTTAAGTTTACACTGAAAGAAAAGATTAACTGAATATATAGCATAACATTTTTAATTGCAGCAAAAATTGGCTGCTGCAACTAATTAAAAATGCTATACCATATTTTACCATTTAATTTGCTGCAGCAGTCAATCTTTTCTTTCAATATACAATAAAAAAAAATAATTTAATAGATTGTACAAATGGTATGCAATTCATATAAGTCTCGAAAAAATTTAGCTATTATTTTTCTAGGATTATTAATATCTAATATCAATTTTTAAGTTTTACTTAGAATTATTTTTTGAAAGAATTAAATTTGCCGCTAGCAAGCTTCTTTCCACTCGCTAATGCGCTTTTTTAACGACACATATTGAGTAAGAATACTGATGGCCATCGAATTGTTCTCAGGGTCTTAGGGAGGAAATAGGTGCATTGCAGAGACGTATACGAGAGCTTGAGGCTCAAAATCGAGCATTGTCAGGACTCTTGGCGCAGGCTGCCAGTCCTGGAAGCCCTACCGAACTTATCCAAGGAATTCTCGAGGGTGGTCCAGCCGCCCTGGTCGCCGCTTTGGGTCTGGACCCTTCCTGGGTACCCCTCTCAAGACCACGTTCCCTCAATTTGCAAATACCCGTGATGGCAACCACTAAGTGCCGACGTAGTAGACCTCTTGGTACTAATTATCTTTTATCACAATTAACACATTTGCTATAGAATCAAACATAATTACACCGAAAAAAGTATCTAATTACATTAATTGGAATTCTGATTGAAAATAGACAAATCAAAATTTTCTGATTCATTCATTTTTAACCAAAAGTTTTTCTCGGTGTAGAAATCTCGAAAAATTTTTTCCGTTCTTAAGATATTTTTATTCTATTATTTACTTGTCACTCTCTCCCTTTGAAGCTGTCTAACAGCAACATGTGATATAGTATAAAATGATAAGACAAAACTATAATGCGTCTACTCTTCTCGGAATTGTTTGACTAAATCGTTTGCAGCGCAAAAACCGTCGGAAGAGGAAGGCAGCGAAAGCCCAGAAAGTGGTAATCGCGACGAGGGCTACTCGACCATGTCGAGTGATGTTCAAGGTGAGGGTACGCGTCAGGAGCCATCTGTGCGCGGCCTCGAAGATCTGAAGGAGGCCACCGACGAGACCGAAGCTGACGTGTCGCCGGATGCTCGTCTCGTCGCCCTCGACACCGGCGATCCGGACGTCCTCTTTCTACCTCTGAATCTCACCGTGGGCATCAATCCGCGCCACAGCTATCCGCCGACTAAAGATCTGTTACCCTATCAGCACGTGATGCGTAGCTTCTCCGACAGTCATCTTTGTCTCAAGCTCACCACTACCGCCAATTTTACACCGTACAAACTGCCTAGCCCCATGGGCTCATCTTCTCTCTTGCTGGTGGAGGAGGAAGGCTGGGACGCCGAATATGTGCAACAATGGCTTAGGTTTGTTTGCTATATCTATTTCTAAGGGTGTATAATCGCCGGATTATGAAAACTTGATTAAGAAAACGTAAAAGCGGAATATGTGTGTATAACACTAGAGAGAATCTTTAATGTATCTTCCTGTTCAATTAAAGTTAGCTTCTTTTATGAGGTTTATTAAAAAAAAACGTTAATAAACTATTGTTACTTCCACAGATCATAAATCAATTAAAATATTATCGAGTTTTATAATATTAAAAGATTAGATTATATGTTAATATAAAAGTTAGATTCCGTATATTAACAAATATTGAAATTTATATTCGAAAAAACATTTTAAATATATTACACATGCAAATTATAATGAAGCTTTATGTATTTGTTCAATTTGCATTACGGTTTTACAATTAAACATTTTATGAAACCGATACAACGGAAGAACAAAACCATATTTTCTCTAAAGCCGGATAGTAGATTATCGATATAACTGAAACATGAAAATATGCCAGAATTGATCAGGGCACGGGTTTCAGGCTCGATGATAGTAGAAGCACGCAACAACATCGAGATTTGCTCGAATTGGAGTACGACAGAGCGGAGCTGGAGGATTGGAGTTTCTCCCTATCCACGGAAGACCTCGTACAAAATGAATCCGCAATGTGGAAGGAGCAACCAGCTACAAATACACCTGCCCTGCCAGCAATCAAGGAACATAATCTTCTGGAATTGGAGGAGGACGCGAACGAGTGTCTGTGGAACGGTGCGAGCTATCTTGCCGATAGGACCGGAGGGGAGCTGGTATGTCTGTCGAGTGTTACACAATATCGATCGACGTCTACAACGTTCATTTAGTTATTCTAATAAAAATATCGTTACGGAGAGTCGAATCTATTGCAGCCTGATTAATTCGAATGCGGGCGTATATGTATCTATATTTATTTAACTTAAGTATAATTTTTTATTTTGAATAAATATTTATTTGTTATAGGTAAATATTTCGTTATCACTATTCAAACAGATATTTAATCAAATTCAGTAAATTTTTAGGAAGATTGAAAAATGCAGTAAATTTTTTTCAGTGTACGAAACAAAAATGGTTTAACTACTTCCTAAATCTCGTCGAGTGAAATCTCACTCGAAAAGACTGAAATCTCTTGAAAAAAGAGTGAAAATACGGTCACTCTTGTTCAAGATAGATAGTAGATTTTCACTCTTTTTAAAGTGAGATTTATTCTTTTGGAATGAGATTCACTCTGAAGGAGTGAAATGTCAATCCCTTTTTTGGAGTAAGGTTCCATCTATCCTGATATTGTACTCCAAAAAAGGATTGAGGTTTCACTCCTTTTGCTTTGGAGTAAATCTTATTTCAAAAGAGTAAAAAGTGTGCAAATCTGCCTAATCGATATATGTAATGCAAATTATCTTTTATTTCTTAGGTTGCGCTTTTAATGGACGCGAGGACAAACGGACCCTGGCCATATGCCTCAAGTCCCGGTGCGTCCTGGAGTAGCGAGGAGGGTGCCCTGGAGAACTCGAGTAAGCGTTCATCGGCGGCACTCTCTGGCTGCAGCGACGATCCTGACACTCCGTCAATCGGCACGGACTTCACCAGGGATTTTTACCGGCTAGTAAAGTTCGAGAGTACCAAGAGCTTGGCAAGCACGTCCTCCAGAAGTGGTAGACCACCACCGGACAGGGAACAAGCACTTCAGAGCGTCCTGTCTTTCATCGCCGAACAACAGATGTACCTCGCAGAGTTACCGAATAATCCCAACCAAATGGAATCGCAGAACGTGTCTCACTCGACCGAAGGTGATACTCAATTGTATTCGTTAATTAAACACAAAACGTTTTATACTGTCTATTTTTCAGTCAAGTTATTGTTATTATAATCATAAAATGCAGGGAAAAAAATAAAAAATCAATTAACTAAAAGAAATTGATACTTATTCAGATTAAGGGCACCTCGCCGATGACCTTGACATATGTTGTCAAGGTCATGGCCCTGAGTGACCTCCGACAGGTTTTAGGTGGCAGTCGTCCTTCGTTAAAAAGTTATTAACAAAAAAAGTTCACAATAATTATATATAAATGACGGCCAAAGACGAGTGAATAATAAGATGTTAAAATGTAATAAACCGGAATCACAAATGTAATCAACAAATAAAAATTCTGTAGTCATCTTTAATAAATTAGTTCTCATGTTCTTAATCCTTACGTATCTTTTATATGTTGTACAGCATACAAACAATTGTTAACATCATTCTGTATTACGACAACATCTATTAATATATGTATATAAAACTTGAGAATGATAATTATTATAATAAAAATTCAAAAATAACATAGACAGTATGCATAGTGAAAGCGAACTTACAATAATTGTTAAGATTTATGTTACTGGTCTCAACAGTAGTCTTATACGAAATGGCGAGCAATTTAGACCGATGTCTTCTGACATCTGACAATAAGAAAATAAGAGAACAACAAAAGAATAGAAAGGAGATACAACAATCAATAATCTTTATAATCGTTATTATTGATTCTGTCAAAAAAAGTTCATATATAACACGAGAATTCCCTGCTTTAAAATATGTTTGCTATTCGTGCACTGTAGGGGGATGATCAGAGTCGAGGGTGAAAGTCGTGCGCCCCTTTGCAGGGAGAAGAGGGATGAGAGTCGCTTCCGGTGAAAGTCGTACACCTCTTCGCGGGCGGAGAGGAGGGTGAGAGTCGAAGGTGAAAGTCGTGCGCCCCTTCGCAGGGGGAAGGGAGGTGAGAGTCGAAGGTGGAAGATATTATTCACCCCCCTCCCTCCTGCAAAGGGGTGCACGACTTTCAGCCGAAGCGACTCTCACCCACCCTTCCATCTGCAAAGGGGCGCACGACTCTCACCTTCGACTCCCCCCCCTCCCCCCACAGTACATGAATAGCAAATATATTTTAAAGCAGGGAATACTCGTGTTATATAGTTGTATTGTGTATGCCATTAAACCTTCTAAATATTTCTGAGTATTTCTGAAAAATGTGGTAGAAATTAAACGTTATTTTTAAAACTTTTTTTGTTAATAACTTTTTAACGAAGGTTGACCGCCACCTAAAACCTGTCGGAGGTTACTCAGGGCAACATATGTCAAGGTCAAGGTCATCGGCAGGGTGTCCCTTAATCTGAATAATTAGCAAGAAATTTTTTAAATATAGTAATGAAAGAATGGAATTAAAATGATAGAAAAGATATTAAAAATGTTTTTTAAATCTCACCGCTTATAGAATTGGTCCCAAACAAAAATGATTCTACGGGAGAGACAAAGATAGCGGAGCTAGAAAGCTCGTCCGTTCAAGAGCGTAGTATCGGAAACACGAATGAAATGAGCAGCAACGATGAGCTGCTCGATCAGATACAGGTACCATCGTTGGCACTCGAGGAGAGGATTGTAAGCGCTGTGTCGTGTAATGGCGGTATCGCATATACAACGGTAGCTCCATCGGAATTGGGAGCTGTTCCCGAGGAGGACGAAGAGGCAACTTCCTCTACACCTAGTACAGTTGTAAGTTTGCTTTCAAATACTACTTAAATTTGCACGAAAGAAAAGAAAAGCGATTACACCTATTCAATTTCTCTTTTTCTTCCTGAAGAAATAATTTTTATTTTTAGGAAATAATTTCTTTATTTCAAGAAATTTTATTGAGAGGTATTATTTGTTTCGCTTAACATTGATTATCAATATAATAATATAAATACAGAGAAATAGGCTCGTGTAAATGCTACGCAATAAATTAAAATGTCAAGATTTTTATTATAAACGAGCAAGACTTTGTAAGTTGAAACGTTTGAGGTTTTTTAGCGTCATACGTATGTAATTAAAATTTGAATTTTATTAATTAACTATTATTGCTCGTTATTAATATATATATATATATATATATATATATATAATAATATATATCTAATAATGTTAATATTAAAAAATAACAGTTATTAATAACATTAATTAATGTATTAACGCTATAAAAAAAGAAATTAATTTTATTAGGTTAGCCCGGCACGAGCAACGCTTCTCGTGGAGGGCAGAAATCGAACATTGAGCTTCCATGAACGCGCCACATCCAAGGACGTTATAGATGAATTGAACCGCATGATTCGGAAGGGTGAAGATACTACCGCTGTTAACATCATTAACAACGAATCGCAGGTACCGCTTGAGAAATTGGATCTTGCTTGCTGCTGTCCGACAGGATGGGTTCACGTTGAACGTGATATTGACTTCACCGACCCCAAGGTGAGCTTCCAATAAGACTAAACTATAGAAATTTTAAGTAACTTAGATAAATGATAGAATATAATGCTCACAGATAAAGTGCTTAACGATTTCATTGCGGATATAAGAATTAATCGCTAGAATAATTGTTTGCTTGAATATAATTTTTCGCAAATATAAGATGTCATATAAATCACTTTACTTCATTATGCTTTTATTTCTACGTGAAAATGAATGCAATATTGATCGCTATACTTTCACTTAGGCCAGAGCAAATCTCTTAGACGTGATGTTAGCAAGCAGCGAAAGTTCTTCGGCGACATCGAGTAGCGGTTCGGCGGGTAGCGACTCGGGAGATGAACCATCTGATTACCGCCACTTGCATAGATTACATCGGTACCGACGGCAAAAGAAAGGTATTCGTCTTCGGGTATCTACTCCGTAGACATTTTTGCCATGCCGTTTTCGCGCATCACCACTGACCATCTTTGCGCAAAATGCATAATTTAAATGCGATCCTTACGATCTCTATCATTCTTAGCGCCTAACCCTTAGCTATCACTTTCTGTTTCATCAATAAATGTTTAATATTCTCATTACGCTTTTTGTTTAAAATTGTGAAATTTTTACTAATCGACTAATATGAAAACATGCAAAAAGCTTGAAGCTAAAGCATTTGATTAACAATAATCCAATATTTTGAATATTTATATATTGTAGAACATCTGAATTGTCATTTTATACATGATTTATTTTAGTGGATAAGATGCTGGTTTCTGATTATACATATACAAGTTTTATACCAAAACTCAATTTTTGTTTTAATAACAAATTTAAGTATAATTTAAGTATAAGATAGAAAATACTTTATTAAATTAATTCTTTTATTAAATCAATTTTTTGTAAAATCGTGTTTAGATTATTATAAGAAAAGGCCACAAAGTATTAAATAATAATTCAGATATTCTAACGCTAATTTACGTCGCTCAACATTGAAGGAAAAAAGCTTAAGAAACGCTTTAGAAAGTTTTATAGGTGGTGTGCGAATAGCGCTTGCTCTTGTAAGCTTAAGACGGCAACATCTTTCTCGTCACACATTTAAAATCGGCGTTACACTTGTACACGTCATATCATATTATATCTCGATCGAGCGACTGATTTGTCTACTCTCAATTACTTTAGACCCTCGCAATTAACACAGTACAATTATAGTACAATCGGCGTCACTATTCGCGCTTGCTCAGTAGCCTTTTCGCTGTACATAGCCTTTTCCATATTTTCTGTTCAGATGGTAGCGCCTACGCGGTGTGCTTTGATTGTCACAAGAAAAGCTACGTAGTTCGGCTTAGTGACGATCAGTTTCTATAAGCGACATGACCAATTGGGAGGAATGCATTGCCGCGCCGGGGAACCTATTTCGTCTTAAACTGAACCACGTGTTACGCCCAACGGACTGATCATTGGTTTATACTAACAGAATTATTAACTGGTAATGAACGTTCCTGGCGTAGCGCCTTTACGCAATTCCATCTCTCCGTCTCGTTCACATATATTTGCGTGGACTACTTGGCACACATTGCCGTCCGAAAGTCTTGGGACAAAATACAGAAAGGTACATTAAATATAAATGAATATCGATTGTATATATAACCAAAACGTATGTGCATGTATATAATCAAACAGGAAGATTACATTCAAACTTAGTGCAATTTCTTAAATGCATTATATCTAATTTTATATAGTTTTATATAGATAATCAAACATACAACTGTGTCTACAAAAGCGCAATTCAAAACATCCAAAGACTTTTGGACAAGAGTGCAAATTAATGCGCAAATTTAACGTTATCTAATATCTTGTTAAAATTAAAAGATGAGTGAGCAGTCGTGCAATATATGAGACTGCAAATATGAACGTTATGTATATTACTGAAATTAAAGCTTCTCAAGTGGAATTGCGTCAGGGTATAAATTAAAAATAGTTACTTTCTTTCTCATTGTACTGCGAGCAAATTGATAATCTCTGAATCTTATTGGCACGTGCAAGACCGTTTCAGCATCTTCATCTTCCTTTTCGACGTCTTTATTTCATTTTACGCCTGTCTACATTGAATCATTAATCTCGCTACATTATTGATCATTTTTAATTTCACGTAAAATTGTAATCAATTCGAATGAATTTCTTTTTCCTGCTTTGTAGAAGTAACATCTTCTAATATCTTATATATGTATATTATATAATGTATATAATTCTGATTAATTTATCATTATTCTCAAGTGAATCATAATCATACAAAGTACGTCGGATAAATGACATGTAACGTATTTCAAAAACAAATTCAAAAACAAATTAATAATGTAAATGTGTCAGAATTCTTATTATTTTCTATTTATTATTTCTCAATAGTAATACGTATACATATCTTTAGATTACTGTTAATTTATCGAAAAATTTGATTATCTCACTTGTATAATAGTCTGCTGTAATATAAAATTTATAGAATTAAGATCAGAAGTTTCCAGAATAAGTAGAAAAACTTATGAAAACGAATTATAACAAATAAAATTGTCCCACACAATTTGTCCGACGTACATTATACATCATCCACTCGGTCGTGCACCCGCCAAATACTTAAATTCCACAAAAAGAAATAAAAAGAAAGGTATAACCGGTGCGGTGGAGCGACAGTGGAAAACGGAGAGACGATATGGACGGATAGAGGAGACGTGAGAAAGGAAAGGGAAAGAGAAAGAAAGAACGAAAGAGGAATAGAGGGAGAGAGGGTGAGAGAAGGAGACGTGAATACGGTGAAAGAGAGTGCTAAGCCGAGCTACTCTGTGTCTGCTAGAACCGGTATAGAGAGAAGAGAGAGAGAAAGAGAAAGAGCGCAAAATCGAGTCGATCGAGTGAAGTCTGAGAGCAGCATCTGTTGACCCGCTGCTGTGTGCCCTTGGTTTCTTCAGCGTCGGCGGCCCAGGCGCACCGCGTCCTCCGGCTGCCGTCCACCTGGGGCTCGTCCCGGCCGTCAATCATCGGCCGCGGCGATGACTTCTTCGTACGCTACGGGGACAAGGAGCGCGAGGCAGTGGCCTCGTTCGATTTCCTCGATGAATTCGTCGCGGCGGTGACAACGTCGGCAGCGATAGGGCCTTCCTCGTCGCTCGGTTCGGACAGCAGTCCTCTCGACTTGGACAATAATGCACCATCTGCTGTTCTTAACAGCGACATCATGAAGCTCTCACCATTCTAGGATCAACAGCGACGACGGATTGATTTTATAAAACGCGTAGAATTTTTTGTCTGAACGCGAGCTCTTCTCAACTGATGAAACGCAGACTTTATTCTACAGTATAAATCGGGAATAACTTTTCTTCAATCCCAACTTTGTTTTAATCCCTTTCTAAGGAATTGTTTTTAATATATTATATTTTTTAATGTAGAGAAATTGAGTATCAGTTGCATCCTGATAAAGTGAACAGTAAAGTTTATGAAACATTGGTATTCTAATAAGACACATATGAACACGGAGACACGTGAAAGCTTCTGTAATGTAGAAATTTTTAATTGATAGAATCATAATTTTAAATCATTTTTTTCATAGTAAACGATAAAAATGAATTATTTCTTAATTGTGAATCATTAAATGTATTTTATTTTATTTACTGTACTTGTATACTGAACTTAGCGAACATTGTTGGCAATTGAAGAATTAAAGAGCTCCTTAATATATTAGTCTTAATCTGTAATTATTTATCTTTCAAAAATTATAATAATCAGGTTTTACTTTTTTTATATGCCGACTCTGTAACGTACACGTATAACATAATTTCTTCTAACATGTGTTTTGTGTATGTAAAGTTTGCAGCATGCATCTTCTGGGAAGAGTCTCGCAAATTCACTAAACACGACTTCATTATTAAATATTCTTTCCAATTATGCCAATTATAGTGAATCAAAACGACGAACTTGGACGTCTGATACTATCCGTATTTATATAATAAAAAACAAATAACTATTTGCAATCAACATTATGCTAATGGACGCGTTTTGTCAAAGATCGATTATTTTGTAATCATGCAAGACAGGTGGAATCAGAATTCTGATTCCATCATGATGTAAGACATTAGGCCAATCGCTCTCCATCTCCTTATGATGAACGATAAGAGAACAATTTGTACATTACCCTGCAATCCTCGACATCGCATTTCAAGTTTTAGAATCTTACAGTCCTGACGTTTTATTATTAATTGTAAGTAATTGTGAAACTTGAAATGTTGCGCGTTGAAGATAGATTTATAGTCTGAGACAAAGCTTGTTTTGTCTCTTTTTCTCTGCGAGCTTCCTCTTATTTCAGATATAAATACTGTGGTATAGTCGGAGGTAAATGAAAATGGAAGCTGATTGACTAGGGTGGATTAGCTCGAACTAGATACAAGCTGTGCTCATATTTGATCCCAGCTCTTATTCTCGACTAGAGGCAATCTGTGTCAAGTTAAATAGAATAGCCCGATATCTTTTTCAGCATAAAACTACATAAACTTTGTGTTACATTCGCATTGTAACTCAATGCGCTAAACGAAAAGGATCTACTAATGTGCGGATAAATATTAATCAAAGAATTAGAGATAAGGATATGTAAACTGTAGTAACACTACATGTGACACTAAAGTAGTGTGTATGATGGGCACGAATCGTCACGATTGGAAGGCTCTCGTACCGAAATGAACGCACTGGAGACATAAACGTAGGTACAACTCATCATGTAGCCTTTTTAAGAATATTTCGGATATTGTATATTGCGATTATAAGAAACGAGATCTCTGATAGCTTGAAAATTCAATTATAATATTCTTTTGCAAGTATCATTGTAAGTACCATATTTGTTTAAAAATATACGAATTTTAGTATTATGAACAGTCGAATTTTATGTAATGTTAAAACATTTAATTTATGTTTATTAATTTCATATATATTTGTTAAATTAATTGCGCCCTACTTTCTGCACCGTGCTCCCATTAATCTGTTCTTTAATTTTGCTTTTTTTTAATATACATTTATGTATTCTAATTGAAAAAAGGTTTAAATTAAGTAAACAATCGCGTTATAATTACATTTAATTTCTGAAAACTTAATGTAAGTTTAATTTATATTTAGAACTTCTAGAATCAAGAATTGCAAAATTATGAATTCCATTAAATAATTGATCTCTATCAAAGATCTTGCGTTTGATTGAGAGAAGTCAGAAAAGTATTATTTCCATCGAAAACGCATTTTAGAAAACATTCGACCTAAAGTATCATTGAATCATTGTAATGACTTCGAAACATCATGGCACGATCACCTTCCAAAGTGAGCTCAGAGAGAATAGATTAAGAGATATTCGTCGATTTTCTATGAATCGTTAAATATTTTATACTCCATCCCTTCCCACTTTCCAATCCCATCATTAATCGTCAATGAACGCCAAGAGTCGTGAATATCGTTAATTGACAATTCGGTCCACGATGAACTATCGGTGATGAACTATTTTCTGCTGTCCTTAGAGATAAGAATGTAAAACGAGCCTGTACATTTCACTTCCGAACTTTGTAACATAGTAGATTGTGAAGAAAAGAGAGAGTAAGAGCGAGAGTTTTTCCTGCGTAAAAAAATGATGATTACTTTGTTACGTGAATAAAGATAAAAGAAGTCACTTCGACGTAATTTTTACGAAATTTGTCGCTCCGAAATGAGCGAATTTTTTAGTAACGCGTTTGGTCGGATTATAGGCGTAATATCATTAGCGTACGTAAACATAGTAATGAGTCGATAGGGATTGAGACATTTTACATGTAGCTGTATACCTGCATGACGAAGTTCAATATTCGAGGTGGAGAGGCTGCACGGATATTAAAGGTTGCCCTGCATTTGCTCGCGTTGCTGCTGTTCTAGTCAAGCAAGTGAGATCACGATTTTTTTTTTTTAGAATCTTGAATCTGGTCACGTTTATCAACTCTATACTACATTACCAAGTATGACTATGAGTATGATCAATGTGATGTTACAAATGCTTTAAAGCGTTTTTTGATTAGTCAATTTGTAAAATTCTTTCTTCTGCTTGGTCCATCAAACGCTTCAAAGAGTTTGTAGCGAGACTTTGACCACAGCCTATATGAATAACGAGTATGTTATTCATATAACAGGCATTGATTAATGCTAGAAAAATAGTTTTAACAATTTGGAAAATTGTATTAAACTATGAAGATTCGAATAATCTAGCGAATTTTTTAAATATAACGTATGATCTTCTCTCACAACATTCTGCGAACATTTGAGAATAATTTGAATTATGATCTTTGTAATATGTTAATGATATTTTATTTCGTTACGATTTTATTTAAGTCGAAACGGAGAATGTGAAACGACTAAATTTTATACTATAATATATAAATATATCCTTGTTATTATTTATTAATTAATATGATTTAAAAATTAATATCTAATAAGTGATGAGAGAAAATATCATTAATAGTTAGGTAGAAAGAAATTTGCTAGTTTACATCGGCATACCGTGCAGGGTTAATGTTTAACTATTGCTCTTATAGATTCTTTCTGCTGCCGCTATATTAATTCCACTCGAGAGACCGTAATTTATTCATATTTATTTTAATTATAAAATGCTGATCCTGAAGAAGAATAAACTCTGTTCTTAAAAAAAACAACTTTCATCCTGCAGCCTGAAAATAATAGACTAATAATATAGCTTTAAGATTTGTAAGTTCTACATTGGAGACAGCAGTGTCTCCATCTTTATTCCCGGTCGCAGTAGCAAAGTCAAACGATAATTGCGTGAAATGAGACTTGCTGAATTACGATGTACATAGTATGTATGATAGCTCAATGCAAATGTAAGTTATCCTCTCTTGAACTTAATAAATAACGACAATATATGAACGTCAAGAAAAATCCACTTGTAATCATTTGTTATTTACATTTATTTATTTATGCGGAGCTGGAGTTTTGTCTTGCAGCAATAGAAGAAGCAGTAGTAACGGCAGCAATAGTAATCGTGTACGAGTGTGCACATCGAAAACAAAGGAAATAATTAAATGACATAAAATAACAATAATGAATGATGAAAACAATCAAAACGTCCTTTATTTCATTTTTTCAAATTTTTATTGAAAACAAGTATAAGCTTGAAGCAAAAAGGACAATGGGTGCTTTCCATTTAGTGACACAAATCGATACAAGCCAATATAATCGTCGTTCCATCTTTTTTGTATTTAATGAGTAATAAAGATAGAATAACATTTGTGTCACAAAATGAAAAGCACTTTATAATAGAGATGTGTAAATCGAAATTTTTTGATGTCGAGTGAAATCGAATTTCATTTCTTCCCAGCTAACGCTAAATATTCATAGAAAGTTCGATTCGTATAGCCAATGTGCTGAATATTCTGGCACAGTGGAAGAAACGTCGAATATATAAACATGGATCAAATGTTCAGATTGTATGAATACTTTTTGTATTGCGTTGAAAGCCGCTGTTTTTTGTATCTTCTGAGCATTTAATAACAAAATGTTTGAATACCTCAATCAAATATTTGCCCTCGGAAGCTATGATTTTTTCCCACTTCTGGCAGACGCTTGAATTCCGCGACGAAAAAATGGTCTGTCTCTTGAGCCAATTTATTCAGCAACCCAATTTTTTATTTCGCCGTAATTACGGCAATGTGTATCATCCGGAGTGTGTTGCATCAATCGAAACAGATGATAATCGCTTGGTGCCAAGTCCGGAGAATACGTTGAATGCCATCCATTCGAGTTCTATCAGTTTTGTTTTACGGCTACAGGGAGGCCGAGCGTTATCATGAATAAGAATCACCTTTCAACGATTTGATGCAACTGATGGTCGTTTTTGCATCAAATTATCATTCAAACGCTCTAATTTTCGTCGATAACGGTCGGCTATGATTGTTTCGTTTAGTATAAACAGTTCATAATACACAACACCCTCCATCTCAAGTAGCGCACAGTGCTTACAAAGCGCTAAAAAGCGCATATAATCGCTCTTTTAGCGCCATGCAAGCGCTGCTGTGCTACTTATGATGGGATATCCCATCAAATACAGAGCATCCCTTACGGAGACACTGAAAATTTCGAAAAAACACCTAATTTTAAGGTGTTAACACTCAAAGTTGAGTGTTAACACTTAATTTTCAGTGTTTTTTCGAAATTTTCAGTGTCTCTTTCCATAAGGGATTGCTTTGTGATCATGGACTTAGCGTCGAGACACTACCAGTGTCTCCAGATATTTCGCTTTGGAGTCGATGTTGCTGGTTGGCCAGGATCAATCCATGATTTTTTGCGGCAATTATACAGTTTAGCATAAAATACTAAGCTTAAAAATCAATAAAATTAGGCTTATTGACGCGTTTTCGCACGAAACGAAAGAATCTGACAAAAAAAAGCGTCGCTCTGCCTTATGATCCAAGATATATTAAACGTTAAAATTGATAACATTGAGGTTAGGATATCATAAAGACAAAACGAGGTCTATAATTTTACCGTTCCACATGGGTTTCGATAAAGGCTTAAACACAATAGGCACAGGCAACAACAGGGAGTAACGAGCCGTCCAATCAGAGCTCTGGGATATAATATCGAACTTACACACCGCGACGGCGCCACTAACGGTGGTACTAACTACTAGGAGTTTGGAACCCCTGGGCCTGTCTCAGCCATCTCAGTTCTTCTCTGGTTTTATAAATATAGTCCGTGACTGCCTGTGCGCTGCAAGTGCGACAAGTTTTGTTAAATAAGTTTGGTACGCAATCGTTATCAAAGTAAAATACATTTTCTAATTATACCCCTATACACGCTATTGAAATATAATGTGATTCCTAGTCGTATTTCTTGGCAGATCAATTTTTGTCAATCCTAGTCGAGTGTTTTAAGCGAACTTTTATTTTATTTTTTTTTTCTTGTCATGGCTGATACCCTCGAGTGTATTTACAGCCGGATCATGTCAGCGTGCGATGGTAAACGTCAATTGTGGTACTCAACAGTTCGTTGAGAGCTGGTGAAGTTGCTAGTGTCAAGCAACGTAAAACATGGGTGACGATAATAATGGGCAGACGAACGGGTGTCGATGTGGAGATAGACGCTACTACTAGCGAGCTGGAAGTGCTCGTCGCGTCGGAGACGCAGGAGGGTGAAAAGGAAGACGAGGGGGAGGGGAAGGAGAATATATACGACGGAAGGTCCGCGACGAGGATGGAATCGCGGCACCCACGCAAGAACCGTCTACGTAGCATCATCGGGATATGCCTGTTCCTTGCGCTGACCGGGATCATTTACCTGGGCTACTTCTGCCCGGATCACGTGTGCGCTTTGACAAACCGCGAGATCAGGGAGTCTATTGGACTGTCAGAGAGCCTGTCCATCGCCCCTGGATCACCTGTCGCTGGTTCCGCTGCGCTCTCTTCAGTTTCCATCGAGCTTGATAGAAACGGTTTGCTCTCGGTGCATCCCGCCTTCAAGTTACAGAGCATCCAGGGTAGTCTAGGCTATGATGACATCTTTGCCAATGACACCTTTCAATTTGATATCAATGCTCACGACGTTATGGTCTTCCTTCACATACAAAAAACAGGTACGTCAAGAAAGTTTCAAATTGCCATGTCTATCGAAAACAAATTTTAAAAGTGTTACAAATAATTAAAATCTAATGCTCGTTAGTTGCACAGCAATATTAGAAGGACAACAGCCAAGGAAAAAAAATAAAGATAATAAATCTAAGTAATATAGTAAATAATTTATTCTCTAATAATTTAGGACAAAAAAGCTTTGTATTTAGTCTTTATCAGCATGATGAACAATAATCGAATGAATAATTAAAAATAAAGATGTTGACACTATAAAGTTATATTGAAGAGACTTTAATGTTAAAATGAACAGATTGTAAACAAATAGACCAAGTAAAATAATGTGTGTCAAAGTAGTGTAAATACAGAGACAATAAAGGCTACGTCAAAAGTAATCCCCCCTCTCCTAAAATTAGAAAAACTGTAAAGAGCTTATTTAATAATATAAAAAAACAAGTATCTGTTGCATCCAAGATATCATCATTCTTGTTTTGTTCAAAGGTGGCACACTATTTGGCAAACATCTGGTACGAGATTTAGAATTACAAAGACCGTGCTCATGTCAACGACGACGCAAGCGTTGCTTCTGTTTCCGTCCAAATCATAACGAAAATTGGTTATTCTCACGATACTCTACCGGCTGGAAGTGTGGATTACATGCGGATTGGACCGAATTGACAAATTGTGTTGATACGGAACTCAATAAAATTGAAGGAGATGGAATTAAGCGCCGTTACTTTTACATAACTATCATAAGGGATCCCGTTGCAAGATATCTATCTGAGTTTAGGCACGTGCAGAGAGGTGCTACATGGAGAGGTGCTCGTCATTGGTGCGGAGGTACTCAAGCAAATATACCTCAGTGTTACGATGGTCCCAATTGGAAAGGTGTTACCCTGGAAGAGGTAATATCTCCTGATTCATTTTACCTTATATTGGCTCTTATTATTATAATATAAATTATAGTAGTTTGTGTATAAGCACATTTTATCTACATATACTTTAAGGTAAAAACTTTTGTTTTGTCTTAAAAGTTGGGTAGACTTCTGTCTTGCCACCGAACCATACAGCACTCTGATAGTTTCTTTGTTGTACTTACTTCCTCTAAATTTCTTACAACACCCTTTCTCATTTTGTACGCGGCTGTTTTTTGTCAGATAACTTTCTGTTGTGCCGTCTTCTATAGTAAACACATTGTACTTATGACTTGTTATCAATATAAGAAAAGAAAGCAAATTAATTTGACATTTTTAATATTTTAATAAATAAGAATGAGGAACAGAACTATTGATACAGTTTAGGAGATTTTGTTTAATAATGAGACTATTTTTTATATTTGTCCAGTTTATGGAATGCCCTTACAATTTGGCAAGAAATCGTCAAACGAGGATGCTGGCAGATTTATCGATAGTTGGCTGTTATAACTCCACTCTTAGCAAAACTGATAAAGAACGTCTAATATTGGCTAGCGCTAAACACAACTTACAATTTATGCCTTTCTTCATGCTGACTGAATACCAGAAGGTATGTAATATGTTAAAATTACGCAATTTTTATTTTTATTGTTATCGTCATTATTACCATTTCTAGATAAATATATTTATTGTCTACTATAACTTTTTGTTACAATGCTCATGCTTTACTATTGGTTGACGTTACACGCTCTACCAATGGGAGAGCACGAAATGTTATTAATTTAATCCAGGCAAACCCGGTTGGGCCGAAACATATAAGATAATTCAATATAGAAAGTTACTATCCTGGCGGAAAATAAATTTTTATGAAAAAGTATAGAAAATTTACATAGATTGAGACAAGATCTTAGAAATTCTTAATTCTTTGTAGATATTCTTGGTGAGACGTAGTGTGGCGTTGTTTGAAGGCGGAGGATCTCTAAGTTTTTCAAAGAAACAACGCCGCTTTACGTTCCACTACGAACATCTGTAAAAAATTAATAATTTCTAAGATCTTGTCTCAATCTATGTAGCTTTTCGTAAAAGTTTTTTCGCCAGGATAATTTTATATATACATATATATACATATAGAATGAGGCAGTAATTTCGTCCACTTGGAATATTACCGTTATTTTTAGAGATATGAAATAATATATTTATTGAAGTTGTATAACATTAATGATAATTATATCTCTTATATTTTACTTCACATGTACTAACGATAAATTTTATTCATGTGTTAGGTGGGGCAGTACACCTTCGAAGAAACATTTAAAATGCGATTTGCGGTTGCATTTGAGCAGCATAATGCCACACTTAGTGCAGCCACTATGGCAACCCTCAGTACGGAACAATTAGACGCCGTACGTAAACTCAACAGCCTGGACCTAGAACTCTACGAATTTGCAAAGAATCTTGCTTTTCAAAGATTTAAACGGCTTAGAGATCGTGATCCACATTTCGTACAACGATTCCAACACCTTGGTGAATTGCCATCAAGGCAAAGTGCCACAGAATTTAACTGGGATTCTGTCATTGAAGACACTACGGATAACGAATGATGTGTGAGTATGTTATACGAATAAAAAAAGAGAGATGTGTATTAAGGAATTAAGAAATATGAAAATAATAAAACACTTTCTCCGTTACAGATTATATTACAAGACAATAATATTCAGTAATAAGATGTGATGTCGTAACACCTCTTCATTGAAAGGCGAGAAAGAGTTGAGTCCACATACAGTAAAGTAAAAATACATAAAAGTCAAGGAATATAACGTCATTGGTTAGCATGTCTAACAAACAATATGGAAAAGATACAAATTAGGAACAATAGAAAGGTAATAGTGTCATTTATTAAAAAAGAAAGAATTTATGTGGGTGTGAGAAATACTAAATACATAAATATATATACAGGGTGTCCCGAAAGTTTTTGCCAATCGCTTTTATGTAGATAGAGCGGACTAAACTGAATCGAAAAGTCCTCTACTATTTTGCAATTTTCGCAATAGTTAACAAGATATTAATTACTACAAATTGCAAAATATTGGTCTTGAATAATTTTTTACTCAAATACTATCAACTTTACAGCAAAACTGCAAGAGACAAAAATTATTAATTTTCTTCTCATAAAGTCTGAGAATTTTTTCAGAATTTTTTATCAACTTTTTAGTACTGCATTTTCGTATTTTTACCAACATTAACTTATTTTTTATTGTAGATACTTACTTTTCTATTATAGATATCGACATTATTGAAATAAACAACATAATTTTAGCAGGGTCCAGACATCACATTGCAAATATCTTAAATACTTTCAATAGTTTTCACTACTATTTGTAGTTTACCTTTGAATATGAGAAAAATCGAAATATAAACTTTCGTGATTTTTTGCTGAATATAAAAAACGGTGGAGGTCTTTATTGATTGCAAAAGGACATTTTCTATTCTTCTCTTTCCATGCACTATATCATAAAATAAAAACACTATACAGTCTCGTGGATTATTATTGTTTTATCCTAATTTTCAGTAAAAGAATCTTGAGTACTGTATAAAAATACTTAGTGACAATTCTTGATCTAATTTTTATAAAAGTTAATTTGAAAATCAAAGAGATATTTAGTGATGGATTGTGGATTGTGTTTAATAACGGGACAATTAATTGAGGCGAGGATGCATTAAAAAAATATAATACTTTCTTACATATAAAATATATTAAAAAACAGTTGCAGGTGTAAATAGATCGAAATTTAGTGTTGGATTTAGATAAATAAATTCATTCATTTAGTCAAAGTATAAGAATAAAACTGAATTCCTTTCGAACAACAATGTAATTTATAAAATTAATTGCAGAGACTGCGATGCCTCATATATGGAGCAGATAAAACGACAACTACAAACTAGAATAAAGAAACAAGAATAACATCAGTCAAAATCCATCATGACAATCTATGATTACAGGATTAAAATTTAATCAATAATTTAAGTGAAAATTGACCGAGAAATGTTCAAACACAAGTCAGAGAAGAATATCATTGTCAAAGTGAGTCTTAATGCTTAATAATATTCATATGACTATTCAAATACATTTATGAGTTCTATAGACTGTGAACACTATCATCGGTAATGGTTATTCATAATTAATATAATATTCTGGTCATTGATAATAGTTATTATTCTTTACTAAAAACAATATTCCTCATCTATGGTTATTCGTAATCAAAAACAATTTCCGACATCGATAATGGTTATTCGTAATTAAAATACATAAAAATTGATATTTTATAAAAATTACATTTTTCGAATAACTTCTTTAAAATTTAATGATCATTAGATTCCCCATGAATAAATATCAACTTTTAATCAATGATTTTTTTTTTAGATCAAATTTTTAAGATCTGTTACTTTTGATCTGCTGTACACTTACTGTAAAGAAGAACTTCGTGATACAGACATATAACTTGTGTAAGTTTCTCACAATATTCAATATTTCTCAGACTCATATACTATATAAATTCTTTCTTTTTTAATAAATGACTTGATATTACCCCTTTCCATTGTTCATAATTTCCTTTTGTTTGTTAAACAAAATGGAAAAGCTGTATATTATATATTATACTCCTTGATTTTTACGTATTTTTACTGTGTATGGACTCAACTCTTTCTCGCCTTTCAACAAAGAGGTGTTACGGATATCACATCTTATTATTGAACATCATTAGCCTGCGATTCGATCTGTAATAAGGAAAGCGTTTTTATTATTTCCATGTCTCTTAATTTCTTAATATACATTTTTATTCATGTTGTCTGATTATTGATGTGGCTTTTTGCTTGTTCAATTGTTCGACGCTTTTGTTGTTTTTATTTTTATCTTCATTTTATTTATGATTTTTTCATCTTAAATTATAATGCGATCATGTACGGATGAGGAACCAAGACGAGGTCGTGAAACGTTCCGTTCGTTACATATTTGAAATTTACGAATAAAATATTATTTAGTTCACCTTTTTTTTTGCTCGATTACTTGACCTATTTGAAATCCTATTTTAGAATATATGAGCTTGATTTTAATTTTATAAATAAAATAATATTAAGTATAAATAACAGATTTCTCATTCTTAAAAAATACACAAATGAAGAGAATCACACTTTTTAATATATAAAAACATTGAATAATTATGATATTAATGATTTTTTTATATGTTAAATTTTATTTATAATGCGTGTATCCAAATACAAATATATATAACAAATACTGCTAATTAAAGCACAAATATTCTAACTATGTTAATTAAAAAGGTCAAGTTTTACTTAAAAGATAAAAAGAATGCGCGAGATCTCAAGTTATCATTGATATACTATTATTATTTAGAAAAAACACGGGCAATAACAATTTTTCAACATTTGATATATTTTATGTATACAATTCTTTGTATAAGCACATTTTTTATAATTACAGATATGTAGATATCGAATTATACTTTTGTAAATATATCTGAAAGTATATATTTTTTAAAGAAATTATTTGCAGTGTAATTGAAACAAATTTACATTTATGGAAGTGTTTTGTATTGTTCAAGTGATGAAACAAATATGGTAAGCCATATGATTAACCGATGTATGTTTCCGATGGAAGTATCTGAAAATAGAAGAAAAGGATATCCATTTTTCATCGTTGCTTTGCACATTGCTCGTGAGTGATCATTAACGGTCCTACATTCAGTTAATTTGTACAATGTTGAAAACTACACTGTTCATTATTTGTAACATTATTTTGCTGTAAGCAGAGTTCAATATTCAGATAATTACACCGTAATTATAATATCGAAAGTCTCCCTTATATATTTCATAAAATTATTTAAATTATTTTTTATCACAGGCCTACATAGTTTAATTAAACGATAGTATTTAAGGCATTGGATGATGATCATTTGTGTATTAAAATTAATTATGCTACTTTAACAGGATTAGTGTTGAAATTTCAGATGCAATGAAAGTGCAATAAGGCGACTGCGATGGGTTACCATTATAAATATTTCATATCATCCAGTCATAAAATAAATATAAAAGTTGTAGTAGTTTAGAGTAGCTAATAATTACTTAATAGATTACAAAAACTCTCTAGAAGATATAATAAAGGTCTTTCGAATGAATACAAATCATATGTATTTAGAGAGTAAGTTATGTAGGAAACAGAGTGCCATGAAATTCTTATATTTAAATATTAACCGCTAAAGATAGACGGTTATGTTACATTTAATACAATAAGACTTTGTTATGGCAAATAATATCAGGTAATTTAAAAACTACATTGTTTCAATCGAATGACCTATTTATACAGCATAAATGCGTAATGTGTTAAGCGTGTGACACTATTGATATTGTTTATATAGAACTAATATTAAGGACCAAAGATTTGATATGTTTCAGCAAGTATTGAGAAAGCTTGCAACACAAACAGTTGTAAGAAACTTTTAGACATGTCGTTAGATGAAAAGTTCATAATGTCGATGATAAGCGCCAGTTACTTCAACGTTTTTTTTTAGTTATTATTTGTGTATTATAATTAAAGGCGCTTGTCTTACTGTGATCGATTTTTATATCAGATAAAGGAAACGATTGAGAATATGTATTTAATTATATTATATGTGGTAGTGTGTGCAGTTTATTTTGAAATGCGATAAAATTTTATAAGTCGAATATATATGCATGATCTCAATATGTATGAATTTGAAAAATGTATTTGTTTACGATAATTGAATTGTTCTAACATTTGTACGACTGATGATGTAAACAAAGATGCAAGTTTTCGATATGTTAAGGTTGAAACATTAGCTTTAACTATGATATGAATTTGAACCGATGAAAATAAATATAATTAAACAAGAGATCCTAGATTCGATCAAAACGGATTTTAATGCTTCAATTTTTTGTGTGAATTTATGTACGTATCTAATTCTCCAAATCGCAAACCGAAATCTTTTTCCAGATTCGAATCCTGGCTAACGCAATATTTTCATAGATTTACGATTTTCGTTAACATCTAGATTATGAATACTCTTATAAAATTGCTTATTAGCATACAAAAAATCATTAAATTGCTTGTCAATTTAATAAGTGACATTACTACTTTCGTTCTGCTTACAATTGCATTTCAAGACCGAAAAACATATCGATCGCGGTTTGCAGAATCAGACACGTATATAAATTCACCTAGAAATATTTAACCACCAAGATCCGCTAAGATTTTTCTTGTTTAATTAGCTTTACTATTTAATACAATATTAGCGGAAGAGAAAGTAACTATGGAGAGAGAAAGAGAGAGGGAGGAAGCGCGAGAGAATATGCGCGCGCGCGTGTGCGTAGGGAGAGAGAGAAAATTAACATGATGCCATGACACTAAGCCTAATAAAGCGAACAATAGGCCTAAAGCCGTCGGTACCTTATTTAAGCCAGTATGTACATACTATACCATTAGTCGTTTAAGGTTTAATAAATCATTATGTATACAATGCATACATATGCATATATATATATATATATATATTATATATTACTCAAATTGTACACACATATTTATGATTATATCTATTATTATACAATTATACAAAGATATGTGTAATTATCGTAACATAAACATCAGATCGAAATAGAACTAAATTGACTCATTCGAACATTTAACGTTGTAAATCTCTTTTTAATTTTAATAAATTTCAAGAATTTTCTCTCAATTAGTTATATAAAATCTAGTTATTATGCATCTTCATTCCGTAGAGAATAGATCAAAAAATAGATTCTCACATCTTTAGGCAAATCGTTTATTCCAAGCTCCTCAATAAAATATATTATCATGCAATTGTGTTTGTAATATTGTTTTTTAATACCATGTTATGCTTTTATACTATGTTGTAACGTTCTGTTTACAATTTATCTTAGTTTAACGTTTAATTTCAACATTCAACTCTTAATGTTTAATGAAACTCGAACGAGGAATATCAATTTTAACAATACATGTTATTTTTGTTCCTATTACCCTGCTAGAGCAACGATTGTTCCAGCATTATTTTCTCGAAGCCCATTGGTGGAGTATAAATAAAATTTTCTAGAAATAGGTCCAGAATGGCTCCATCATCCACTGAAAATTAAAATAATATAAATTATATATCAAAATCAATCGTCACATACATGTTAATTCCCAGTAAACGAAAATGGACTGAAATGGATTCAGATTTTCAGAAGTATACATCCGCAAACATTGAAATGAATCCTTTTCAATCTCAATGCATTTTTGTTCATTTATAGGAATTGCACATGAAGCACATTTCTATGTCTATCATCTAAAAAAGTTTCAATTCTTTAAGTGCATCGTAAATACTTTTCAGTTGAAAATTCTGAATAGGAAATGCAATTTTTCAATCCAATTGAAATGAATCTAAAAGAAGTTTTTCCATCCAATTGCATCTAAAAAAAGTGAAAATGGATCATGGATGTTATACTAAAGTATTCAGGTGGATTTAAATGATTAAAATTTCAATCCATTTTAATCAATTCTCGTTTATTGCGAGTTGTTCTTTATTAGAATAAATAAATACCATATAACACTGGGTAAATCCGTCCCTTTACACCTATAACTGGAGCATTCATGGATTCTCCATTTAAATAAAAATTCAACTCTACATGATCGTAGGATACTCCCTGAAAAAGTTTTTCATTATTCAAACAAGATGTTGACTGTAATAACAATCTTTTAAAAAATCAAAAGCATTTCTCCGATTTTTCAAGTTTAATTAATTTCTTCAAAATATATCAAACTAAATAGCAGTATGTACATACGATGACATCTCCTTCCTGGACAGGATTTTGAATCTTGTGAAGTTCTTGTTCATTGTGCCTTATGATACCATCAGAATCAAGCGCCCAACTTTCTGAGTCTTTGCCTCCTACAGCGATATTGAGATCCGTGTCTCTCCTAGCTAGTCCAATGCCCCATATACCACCCTGCTGTATCTTCACTTCAAAATAACTTTTACTCTGAAGAAGAGGGGCATTCGTCAAGGCACCACCGCTTCCGCATATTCTTAGACCATTTTTTACTATTACTACCTCGTTTCCTGTATAAAATAGCATGGCAATTTATATCTTTATCTTATCATCTTTATACACATAGAATATATGTATATACAGGGTATTTCTTAAAAAAACCATTCAGCATTTATATGGTAGATAGCATACACATCACATTGAGTAAAAAAAACCTTCGTGAATATAGATCGAAAACTCAACCATTTCTGAGATACAAATATTTTTATATATTAGCATCATGAATGATTTTAGCTTCTATGTGTCGTATGCAATGTTTACCTCAATGTTTATAAATCACGTTCTGTATATCCTTATTCAATTTCATTAATTTCAAAAACTCGAAGATTACCTTAGATTAAATGATTATCTGATACTACTTTAAGAGTACCTGTAATATTGCCTACAGATTATTTGATATTACCCTCAGATTACTTAGGATTTCCTACTTAGATTACCTAAGATTACTTGAAAACACTAAAAATTATTTAGATTTACCAAAAATCATCAAGTCCTTGTACAAAAACTTCAGTGTGACAAACCTCTCGAATAAAATATTCTCCGCAATGCAAATGCAGCATTTTGTAATGCATTTTAAAATACTAATTTTCTTATAATCTTTCCTCAGCCAGACTCTGCCACACTCAACTATTTTTCTATTTTTTTCTCACATCCCACTTTCTTCTAGTTAGAAAAACAAAGCTATACAGCACCTATTGTCCGTTTCTTTCTACCTGGGCCCCTATTCTCGAAAAGTATCGCATACGAAAAACTAGGGAAGTGCTATAATATATGTAACGCATACTATAGTATTTCCCTAATTTTTCGTATGCGATACTTTTCGAGAATAGGGGCCCGAACCTCACGCTCTGTCTATTCTTATTATGCTATGAGTGCTATTTGTCATTTTACCTTCATCGTAAAACAAGGATAGAATGACATAAATAGCGCTAATAGCGCCTCCCCAAACGCACCTTTTGTTATCATTAACAGTTACCCATGTGAGTCGTATCCAAGGCGATGGGATTTCGTTCCCGTTTCGGTGTCCGAGTCGTGACAAAGCTGAGGCCGTGGAAACAGTTTCTTAAACAGCAGAACATCGTTCGCAATCGTTGGGGTTTCACGTTACAGAGTCACTTAAAAATGCGACGTACACGACATCGTGAGCTGAGAGAAAAGCTTTTCTTTTCCTCTTTTTTTTCCTTTCAGTTTGGGTCGATCCAATATTTCTATTATTTGGTGAGATATACACGGAATTCATTCGTAAACTCACTGCGCACAAATGCAAAACATTATTCAAATCTACATATAAACAGGCTACATGAAAATGGCTTCCACTCCGAAAGATCACAACCAGCCTTCAATGTGTGGTATTTATTTTGCGATTCTTCTAACCATCTTCACGTTTAACGGCAAAAATAGTCTTTCAAAATGCTTGTGTTTCATGGCTTGACGTAAAATACGCGTTCTGAAGTTAGATCAGGTTAGATCGATTAGGCTGCATACATACATGGCGATAAACGAACAAAATGATGCGCGCGCAAGAATATTTAACTTTTAAGGTAAATTTTCACGAGCTGCTCTAACCGGCTGTTTCAGCGACAAAAAGGATCACGTGACCAAAATGGACGCTTGATATTCGTCAATTTTGTGTTCGTCAACTAGCGATGCATGACTCTCATTGGCTACCGCTACGCCGCTCTGGACTCGCTATTCTTGAAAAGAAATTCGTATACGAAATTCTAAAAAAATACTATAGTAACATATACTGTAATATCTCCCTAGACTTTCGTATAAGTTTCTTTTCAAGAATAGGGGCCGTCTGTAGGCTCCTTTATGCTGGAGCCCCATGAAGCATAATTGTCCCAATTACGATTTCAAAAATTGTTAAAATAATAACCACCCTAACATATATGTTCCTTTACGCGTTTTGCACACGTTAAGTTCAGTACTTGAACTTCATTATATAATATAAAGAAATTAGACATTTATATGGTAATTCGATTTACTAAATAACCACCTCAATAAGTATTTGTACGTGTCTTATTTAAGTTGATCCATATTCTACAAATCATTACTGTAAGATAGATCGAATAATTTTTCAATTATGATATATTTTATGTGCATAAAACAACAAAAATTTTACCAAAATGGTATTTATTTATATTATACAAGAAATGCTTATATTCGACTGGGATACAGCATCTGTAACAAAACAATTTGAATTAAACATTTTTGTACATTTGTATATCGAGACTAAGATCATTATATATACAGAATATTCCATTTTTAACGATTATCTCCGAACTTTTCTTTAATTTTAGAAAACAAATTTTAGACAAAAGTTGCATGGTCTGGAAGGGAGCAAATAATGGTAAAATCTTTCTAAAAAATCGATTTTTCAAGATTATATAAAAGTTATTGTTATTTACATTCATACATGTGTGCGTGTGTGTGTGTGTGTGTGTGTGTAAAATTGCAACATTTATAATAATTATTTATTTAAAATAGAAAATATGTTAAAGTTTGTAGGAAATTTTTAGTTCAGTGTAAAATTCAATAAATGTCTATATAAAGTATAACATAAAATTTGCATTATTAACTTACAATCCTGATACGATGACCCATAGCCTTGGCCGGCAGATTTCTCTTAAACTTAGCACGCACCGATCCACTTGCACCGTGAGGCCGAGTCACTTTGCCCCAAATGGCTCTAATTTTTGTTTTTTTCGTAGTCTTTCCAGGTACTGGAGTTTTGTTCTTAGCCTAAAACAATTTCATATATAAGATATCTATTGATAATTTTGTTAAATAACCGCTTAAGTAAATTCTTAACAATAGGTACATTTTTAGCAATATAAATTATATTTTCAATCATATCTGAAATAAATTGACTTAATAAAGAATATATATTGTATTATTTAAAACATCTAACTTTGACTGTGTTGGCATTCTCTATTGTATAATTTATGTATTCATATATATAGTTTCTTAAGTCTTAATAATGTTTATAAATGATATTCTTAAATTAATGTTAAACCAATATCTTACTATCATAAATTTTATAAAGAGAAAATATTAATAAAAAGAAGCAAAGAAATTTTGGCAATATGATTCTATAAAAATATTTTATATGCATTGTCACTAAAGATTTAAACAATAGGTGTAGTAAGCAAATTTTTCCTCTAAATTCTGAACTAATTAACTGACATTAATTTACTTTAAGCTTTAAACTTTACAGTAAGATGTGGTCAACTTGCTTAAAGCTTATGTTGATTCTACAATAAGTCGAGAATCTTAAGTCTTAACCAGTCCTAAATAACTTAACTTAACTCTTAACCAGACCTAAATAAGTAATTATGATTTTTTGCATCTACGAGTTGTTAGTTGTACAGCAAATTATTTAGCTCGACTAATGGGAGAGAATAAAATCGAATTTGGTCAGTCTTAAAAAAATCAGTAATCTTAGGGCAATAGCACACAAAAAAACTTAAGCAATAAAATGTAAGCAGTAAGCAAATTGACCAATCACAGTAAAGTCTATAAGGCCATAACGTAAGTAGTAGCCAATCTAACATGTTGATTTCCTTACTGCTTACATCTTACTGCCTTAAGTTTTTTGTGTGTCATGGCACATCATATAAAAAAAAAGTTGGCTGTTGGCCAACTTCATCAATTTACTGATAAGGATATATTCATACAAACTTGCAGTCACAAATGTATGCATAAAGAAAATTATCTAATCACATTTTATGTGTCTTTATAAAAGAAATTTGATTGGATAATTTTCTTTGTGCGGTAATTCATTATAGAATCAGCATATGACTTAGGACTACTGATTCATTGTAGAATCAACTTTAGGGATTATAATTAAATTTAATGTCAAAAATACTTCTCAGTGAAAAATGTTACAGTGTAGAACTCAAAAAGGTAAATGCTTATTACATCTATAAACAAAGTCAAAATTAATTTGATGTTTATATTTTTTAGACAATCTATGTCGCAAACAGGTCTTACTTTATATACATAGACGCATCGTTTTCCTACGTAGAAATCAGAGTCTTTTTTTGTGCCGGCTCCTTCAATCTTGAGTAAGGCAGTGTGCTCGTGTTGATTGCGCAATCCGCGTTTATAACCGGTGAAAATTGCTTTTGCATACAGACGCCCATGTCTTTTGAAGGGCCTCTTCCTCAGTGGCGTCTCCTCTGGAGCACCTTCCTTTATCTTGGGCACTTTTGCCTTACTCGTCATTTTCTAATAAAAATATAAAAGTATGACGTAAGCATCATGTAAAGCAATCTTTAACAAAAAAAGATAACCAAAAAAAATACGGAGAATAATACTTAAGTATACACTGAATAGTGGAAGAAACTCAGATATGCTATTGCACATAAAAACAGCAGTAATTACAAATTTTGTTATGTGTAAAACTCTAAATATTTTGTTAAACGTAACGATTGATAAGTGTGCACGTGCAATTTCTTGTATCATATATATATTTTTTTAAACTATATAAATGCTAAATGCTACGTGAAACGGATCGTGATAATCCGTTGGAATCGCTGAAAATTAAGTAAGATATAACAAAACGAATAGTCGCAAACTAATTTGACGTAACGTTATACAAAGTGTTTTTATTATTTTTGCGAAAGATTAATTATACGTACAAGATTTTTATTATTAAATAAGGAAATCTACTATTATCAAAACGTACCAGACGTGTGCCACGAACTAAGAGAACAGTGATGCTAACTCTCGAAAAAAAAAAAGTTAAACAGCAGGACTGCGTACTGCGTGCGTTCAGGAATTAATAGCGTATTTTGCTAGATTCACATTGCATCCGATTTGCGTCGTACAACGCTCCGCAACCAATCAGAAAACAGGATTCCGATGATACGAAGCAAAATCCATCGGAATCCTATTTTCCGATTGGTTGCGGAGCGTCGTACGACGCAAATCGGATGCAGGGTGAATCCAGCATTTCACTGGCAGAGCTGGTGCGCACTCAGTGCACTTTAAAGCTGTTGTACACAAATCGACATAAAAATGTACATTTAATAAAAATATAGACATAAATTAAACCACGAAATCCTTAATACATTTTATTACGATATTTGATAAAATATACATTGGGTATTTTATTAACTGAGATCTCTCACTTTTACAGTCAGATTAGGTTAATGTACAACAGCTTTAATGTGCACTGAGTGCGCACCGGTTCTGCCAGTGAAATACGCTATAAGCTTACAGCACACAATTGCGTTCGGTAAATTACAACAGTTTTGCAACCGTTTTATGATTATTTGCTGAAATTGGACCATTCCTCTTGAGCGCTCAGTGAGCTCTTGGATCTGATTAGCATATTCTGTTAGATCGAAATAAACGGTTTCAACCTATTAGAAATCGTGTATTCCGATGTATCCGATTTCTGATAGGTAAAGTCGTTTACTCTTTCTTCTTAATTCCTTATTCCTTCTATTGTGCGTAGTCTAACTCAAAGGAGACCAAGTATCTCATCATCTATTAAGTTTTACAGGTCGGGACTTAGATATTGGTAAGATATTTATCTTATATTTTTTATCATTATATTATATACATATATTTTAGTTATATAATAATTATATGTAATTTATATTAAATCTGGGGATCGATTCTGTATCTTGAAACAAGGTGAAAATTACAAAAGTGAGCGAATTTACTAGAATACTGATAATTTTATTGATCAACATCTAGTAAATTTGCTCACTTTTGTAATTTTCACCTTGTTTGAAGGTACAGAATCGATCCCCTGATATATTTACGTTACGATGCACACACGCATGCATCGGCGGAATCCGCAAAAGAAATAAATTTGCGCAACAGAAAACGGCGGAATCAAGTCACGACCAATCACAAACGTTCCGCCAATTCCGCACAATGGGACTGCGCCATAATTTCAAAAGTGCAAACAACGCGAACAGACCTATTATACATTAATGCTCTCGTTTTTGTACTTAAAAGGAATCATTTTTGTTGAACAATATAAAATGAGACGAAACTTAATTTCAAATATAAGAACGAGGTGTAGAATAAGTATAAAAATGTATAAAAATGACTGGTCGTTTATTATGAAATTTCAAAATTGTTTCGATCATCTAAATTACTTATTCTATTACACGAGTGCGTTGATATTTATATTATTCAAGACTTTTAGTTCTGGCACATTCAGGTGTTGGATATACATGCGGAAACAATGATGAGTGGAGAAGTTTAACAAGAAGTCGCGCAAATACTGGCCAAGGTTCAAATGATATATAGAGTCCCGCAATAATTCTGGATCTTCTTCATCATCATTATCTTCATCTGTACCTCCAAATTCTATAAAGAAATCATATTTAATAGCGCACTCTCTTATTAATAATTCCTAAATGTTACGCAATTTATAGATTATTTATACATAACTTACGTAAAATATTTGCACTTTCATTTCCGGGATCTATCAATTCATCATCATCATCTTCTTCATCCTCATCGTCAGAAACCTGGATGTTGATATAAAGGAATATTTTAATCAAATTTTGCATACTACTTTGATAAAATAAAATAACAAATAATGAAAGATTACGCAAAAATATAAAAACACGGTACTTACTTCTGTATCTTGGCTAGCGCTAATGGCTTCAATGTCATTCGATAGTTCGTTGATTATTACTTTAAAAATTTTTACAAGTACAGGCACCGTAGTCCATTCGTAAGGCTGCGATTCAGCTTTGCTTCTGGTCCTTACACCATCTTCAATTCCTGTATATTCCCAAATTATAATTCGCTATTTTGAGAAATATACAAATATTTTTCATAGAGTAAAGTAACTTTGCCATGTAGTAGGTAACCCAACAAATCATCGCAGTGAATGAGAGTATCATTGTATGTAATATCTTTTGAATAAAATTTATTCTTACGTAACGTTAAAATAATAATAAAAAATTAATTTAATCATATATATTGCTGGACAAAAGTTTGAGACTTCCCCACCCATATATAAAATAAATTTAAAAATTTTCTACACAAAGGAGGGTAGAAATTTTCGAAAACTTCGCTATCGCGCGGGGATTGTTTTATTTCTATGTTACCTTACATATTTTTCTTCGCAGAAGTGAAAAATAATCATTATAATAACGCTAGACTTAAAGAGAAAAATTAGTATATCAAAATAAAGTTAATAAAATCCTTATTCGCATCGTTATAAAGTCACATTATTCATCGTATACTCGTTAATTTATCTAACTTTTTTATGTAATCAAAATAGTCTAAGAACTCTACAAACCTGAGATGATCATATCTCCCTTTACCGCAATTTCGTCCAATCTACTGTCTCCGTGAGTGACTCCATATTCCATGATCTTACACAATGCGATTGTCGCCACTTTGCGATCATATCTACCAAGGAATAAGTGCTGCCTACTGACCCACTCAGACAGTACAAATGCAAGTGCACTCTGTCCCGTTGGCCCAGGTACAGTTGACAGAAAATTTAGCACAGCGTTAAACTGTGTATTTATAAGATACGCGTAAATCATTAGCAGACTCTGCATCACGATCAACGTCTCCGCACTTTGCATCTTGCTCAGCACCGCTTTCAACAGCAAGTCGAGATTCTCGCCCAAACTGTCCCCTACATTTCGAATCAGTGTTGTGACCAAACGCCCGACAAAAGTGGCAGTGAATTCGCTCGACTGAAATTATTCCACATACACATATATGTATGTAACTAGTTCCTAGCGAGGGTATCTAATTTTCCGATAAATTGAATAAGCTGGCGGATAAGACGGCAATGTCACCTGTGGATTTAAGAGCTGAGCGATTATCTGCAGTATATACTGTAACCCAGTTTGTCCTTCGTTGTCTCGATGAGTGATGATCTGCTGAGCTGCCACGGATAAATACGTGCGTATGAGTTCCCCGCCACTCTGCAGCGTTGCGTGATCTTCCGAATTGAGAATACAATGGCAGGCAGTCGGAAAAGCAGTCTCCACCAAAGTGTTACTTAGAGGCGTCGGCGAATATTGCACCAGAACTTTCAACACATCCAACGCTACAGCTCGAGATCCCTCTGACGAAAAAAACAAAAAGCTAATGGCCCAGTTAAATTGAACGATTAAATTTGACGGAAAAAAGAAAAAGAAAAAAGAAGAGCATACCATTTATACTATCCTTTGATTTATTTATAGGAGTTATCATCATGCTTGTTAAAGTCGATATTATACGAGTTTGCAAAGGTTCGATGCAACTCGGATTTTGTGTCAAATCCTTAAATATGTCTTGGCATATGTCTAAGATTGCCGGATCGCTATGAAACTTTACAAATACTGCAATTGTCAAAGGGCAAATCTTGTTTTCCACTGATGCTGTAAATTCTTTATGTTGCTATAAACACAAATAAGATTCAAGTAACTTAAATAATAGAAATGCATTGCAAGAAAAATGTATGTACGATAGAAGAGCGTCGGCATTACCCAAATTAGCATTTGAAATGTCTCCATAACCAAAGTCAAAACGTCTGTGCTAGGTTGACTAACTAGATTAAACAACCCTTGAAAAATGTTGGGCATATGACAACGTATTATGTTGATGATGGGATCCTTCCCAGTTGACGCTTCGCTAAACCAATATATTGCCTTAACAGCACTAATGCGTATACAAGGTGGTTGATTTTCCTGTAAACCATTAACTGTCGCTTCTAGAAATCGGGAACTTACTTCCGGTGGCATTATCTTGGCGTATCGTCCACCGAGACATAAGCAACGACCGAGAAGTAACGGGGGTGATCCTGAGATAATAAATAACAATTTATTAGGTTTCAATTTCGTAAATATGTCGAAACCTAATAAATTGTTGCATACAAAATGATTCATTTTAATTTTAACAGACAAATATTTCAAAAATATGCAATTGTATCAAAATACATTTCAAAAAGTTGTATAGTTACTATTGAACGTCCCCCTCTATACTATACAACTTTTACTTAGAATGTTTTTTGGTAATATTATATATTTTCGAAATATTTGTCTGTTAAGATTAAACTAAAATTACCCTTGAGACTATTTTCATATACAGATAGAACAGACTAAATCGAGTCGAAAAATCCTGTACAATTTTTCAATTTTTGCAATAGTTAACAAGTTATTAATTATTAAAAATTGCCGTATTAGCCTGGCTTACCGCCGAATGCAAGCGCACGGCGAATGATGAGATGCAGCAAGTGATGCACATTCGGGTCGCACTCGATGTGACGAAAGCTGCCGAACGCGAGAAGGACGAACGTATCACACTGTCGCGCTCAGTCGCTCTGAGCCGAGCCGTGCTGAACGCGGCATGCCCGGAGTCCGAACCCAAATATGCATCACTAGATGCATCCGCCCAGCGATCAAGCGCATTGCTTGAAGGCACGCGGAGAATTGTTAATTAGCAATAAACAATTCTGCGTGTCTAGACTGCCTAGTTGGACAGCTGCATCTCGCCGCTTACCGTGCGCTTGCATTCGGTAGTACACCGGACTAATACAACAATTTTTAATAATTAATAACTTGTCAACTATTGTGAAAATTGAAAAGTTAATTTTATTATTTCTACAGGACTTTTCGATTCAATTTAATCCGTTCTATCTGCAACCTGCATATAAAAATAGTCCCAAATATTCTGGATCACCTTGTGCGTGCGTATACATATACAGAGTGAGGCATGCCAACACTTGCACACCTCGAAAAACTTAACTATAAAAAAATATTTTTTTCCTAATAAAGAATT